TATGGATCTCACATGCTCGGTGGTGACTAGTCCCTACAGCGGACGGCCGCATTCTGAACCCACATTCGACCTGCCTTCAACTTGTCATCAGATAGCCTCCATTTTAACGGCCTACGCTGTAAGAAAAAATAAGTTAATTTGCGGTTGCAATCAATGTGATAAGCAGGGATAATCACATAGCGTTGCGGCTTTCCTGATAATCGCCTGAAGTCACCAAATACTTTTTTCACATGCACACTTACCGGCTTCTTGGTATTCCTGCTTTGCAGATACTTGAGGCAACCGCAAAACTGTAGTGCAATCGACCAAAATAAGGTAGCCTTGTCAGCTTACACTGAGTCGTGTGAAAACACGTCATGCGTATGCGTACACGTCTTGAGCACGTCGCTGAAGTCTTTCGAGCCGGAAAGGGGCCTAATCTTTTAGGGAGAAGCTCTCCAAAATATTAGCTTTCAGTGCCACCTTATTGTGACAAGGAATCCGGATTGAGAACCCGCTTCAAATATAATGAATTTCAATCAGATGTCAAAAAATCTTAATTGGGTGCAAATTCAGTAAAATACACTTGGGACGAGATAGCCCAAGTGGTTAGAGCGCGAATTTCCCGACCGGAGGGTCCATGGTTCGAACCTGACATTTAGCACTCGACTTCCCCTGTCTAGGCTTGGGAAACCTAGCAGTATCCGAGCCCTCGTGCTTCCTCCGAATGGCATGGCAGCTAAGCACCGGAAGGATGCTACAGCTGAGTGATTATTTTTACTCGGTTGCATACAAGTTTGGCTCTCGAGGGAGGCATGAATGGATCTCTGCCTTATGATACCCTTCGTCAGCCGAATGTGCTAAGCGCCACGCTGATTAGTGGGTTGAAGATTTCTTTGGCTTAGGCCAGCTTATGCACCAATTTCACATGCAAGCATATCATTAAACGGGCAACTATGGTGGAACGATGAAATACAACTAATAAACAGTGAAATAGGTTGCGTTGGTCCGTGAACGTGCAGCTCATGAATAGGAATTCGGTCAACCTGTAGCTGCGATAAGCAGAAGCCCCAGTCTATTTTAATGTACTTCTAATACAGAACACCGCTGAGGGAGATAATAGGCGATCAAGAATGCTTTAACTCTCAAAGAAGCATCGTGGGGAATTGCACTGGCAACGCCACAGCAGTTGTCCTTAATTTGTATACGGCGGGCCGGTTGCTGGAGATGCGGAAATACATTTTGTTGACGTGTTTGTGACTACTACGGTTGCGTGAGAACCGTTAAGAATGTTAACAAGGCCGTTTGTCGATACTTCATAGTCGCTGAGTCTGGAAAACATAAGGAATTAGAACCTTCTTATCAGACTTTAATTGAGAGTGGTCTGATTCCCTGAATTTTAGGCAAAGTAAATCTGCCAGAAAAATTCACTGTCATTTCACCTAATGGTTTTAAAAAACTGAAGCGATATTCACGTCTTAATCGGTCAAGTGAATTTAGCCTGCCTTCTGAATAAACATAGTTTGACCGGGTGTGGCAGAATAGTTGAGAAACTCCAGAAATTCTCCGCTACATCCCTTCACTAAGCTACAGACAGCATCCATGGTGAGGCCATGAATGGCTCGATCAAGACGAAAAACGCTTCTTCCGTATCCGTTTTTCCTGGTGATAGATTATGCGTATCGGCGGCAAAAAATTTGCCATTACCTCCAAGATCCAGCGTAAAGCATGGCAAAACAATATATTTCAAGTATCACCATCTCAGGGTGACTCTAGTGTTTCAAACAAATCGAAGATGGGCCCACTGTTTTCCGCTTCTTCCACTTTATTTCTCACTTAATTTTCTTTTATTCGTTTTTGTGGTGGCTGAACTCTACGATAATTAAGTTGCGCCCTCAGAAGCGAAGGAAGCCAGGTTTCCGATTCACTACTCCACGGATTTATACACGGGATAGAGGCGATTGTCCAGTCTTCCATTCATCTGGGAGCCATAAGCGAAAGAGGGTGTGGTACATTTCCCAATATTCCCACGGCCGAGAATTCAGGCTTGCCAGTGTGACGACCCATAAAAAAAAGAATCCAAACATGCTACGAACCGGGTTCAATATGCATCACGAACAAACGTCGGAAGGAGATTATTCTGCGCAACATTGTAGTAGTCTGGCTACCCAATAAGTTAGTTTACCAGGAGTGTGTGACAAATAAATAAAAATACCTACGCTAGGTTGGGCATACAAAAATAAATAGGTCAGATGGAACAGACTCACTAAAAATTGTTCTCTTTAAAATAGTTCGTCATTGGCCCAGGTCAGCGAATAAACAATAACCTAATTATGTTGGTCCAGAGGTTTTCTTCTGAACAGTTCCCACATATAATAGATTCCGAAGATGTCTGAAATGTTCTGGTACCAGAGTTAGCACATGAGACTCGCGAATGGCCGCTACAAGCGCGAGCGAAATCAGAAGAGGGAGTGAAAGCACGTGACCACGGTTGTATTCTGTGAGATTGTACAAGTGCGCGTTTTTGTAGTTTTTCGTATTCAAACAAAAAACGATTATGCAATTGATGAAATACGTAGTGTTGTAATGGAAGTAAAATAAAGGTACAAAACACTACAACATATAGCCGAAACGAGATTGACTGGTCCCTAATAAAAGTGGGTACTCTGAAGTGTGCAATCTTCTTATCAGTTGTTCATCTTGTTTTGGTCGGGTCAACCGTGAAAAACCTGAGTCCGGTAAGTATTAATCCCATGGAGACTCTACTGCTGCGGAATGTCCCCCATTTTCTGGAAAATCGGTTGTCAATCGGCTGATCGAATACATTTCTTCTTTCACAGTCGCACCAGGCTCCACCGCAGTTCGACGTGCAGCTAATTGGACGCACCGGTCAACCACTTTGAGAAAACTGGCTTTACCAGCTTATGATCGCTCTGTAGCGTGGGACGTCAGGAAGTCAGCGGTATTCGACGTTCGAGAGGACGGCACACGTCAGTTCTGAAATGTGCAGATATACGGACTGGTATTAATGAATCCACACAGTATACACAGCACACATGCGCACAGGTCGGGTGGAACAAGGGAGAAGGCCGGAGTGTGGTAACGACACGTGTATTG